TTTTTTTTTTTTTTTTTGGTTACACATTCTGAAATGTAGCTCCGTGTTAGCTAAATCGAGACGTCTTCTCTAAGAATGACATGGTTACATTTGCTTTAAACATGTTTCTTAATGATTAATGAATACTCAGCTAACACTTGACTTGATGTTAGTCTCGTGAGTCCTGATGTGTACAAGCTTCAGAATTCAGATCAAGTTCAGGCCTAAAGATCATTTAATTTAGAGTATGCATTATATGTGTTGCTATGTGATTGAGAAAAAAATTGAAGAAAAGAGAAAACGAAAGAGAAGAAATGAGGCCCTATAAGTTTTGAAGAAAAGAATTTTATGTTAATTTTGCTATAGACAAAATCATGAAAAAATCAAAGGGGTTGAAATATGAATTATCTCATCTCCAGAAGTCCAAAGAATATATATAGTGGATGGTGGGGTTTTAGCTGACATGTCCATCCAATAATGACTATATATCAATGAAAATATCAATCATAAACAGTTTACTACAATAATTTCTCCATTTTCTTGTTGTACTGCCATGAAAAGCTTAGTTTCTTTCATAACTAAAGCTATATTGCTATTGTTAATATGTTGATATGTACATTTTTAGAGTTATGTGTGTCAGGTTATGACCTTTAATTGTTAGCAAGGGTTGAGAATTTTAAGGAATTTTGCCTTAAGAATAAAGACAACAACATTAATATAAATATACCCGTTCTTAAAAGTGTTTTTTCTACTAGTGTCGCAATGCCACGCACCAAAGCAGGTTGTTGCACTCCTAAGGCTAGGCCACGGCAGCAGAAGAGCATTTCTTTGGGTCGCTTGGTAGAGGCAATGTCGCCGGCGGTTTCTTCTGGGAAAGGCAGCACTAGCAGTTCCATTTCAGGTACCCGTAATGACATCACTCCATCAGTAGAGAGTAAAGAGTAGTAGATCAGTTTTGCACTAGCACTAGCACAACATGTTAGATACTTATTAGGATTAGGAGCTACTAGGTAGTTGAGCACATGATTTTTAAATCAACTTCAAGAGCAGCAAGTCTGCTGACTTGCAATAGCTTATTAAGTTTCTTCTCGTTGTTGTCCTTTGTCAGGAACCAAGAGAAAGCAAAGTGAAAGTGCTACTCAGGCTGCTGGTGTGTCAGGATCTTCTTCACGACCTTCATTGTCATCTCAACCTGCTAGTGATGATGTAAATCAAATGGTTGGCAGTGGTTCCGGCACAGGAACACATGAACAGGGACATATGGCAGGTATTGATGGTAATGGCATACAATCTCGTGGCCCAGATAATGCAACTACAAATGATGTTGTTATTGAGGTTGGGGAGGATGAGGACGACGACGAGGATGAGGCTGGAGAGTTGAATAGGGGTGACGGAAGGAGGCCGAAGAAATTGACATCTTTTGTTTGGGAGTACTTTACCAAGAAAACTGAGACAGTAGAGATGGATGGCAAGAAGTATGAACAGAAGTGGGGGTACTGCAACTACCCTAATTGCAAGGCCAAATATAGAGCTGACTGTAACTATGGAACAACTGGTTTTCGGAACCATCTGAAAACAGTACATCATGTTGTAAAAGGGCAGTTGCTATTGACGGCAGAAAAGGATCATGGAAAAGACATCACGTTGATTCAACCTTACAGGTATGATCCGGAGGCTAGTGTCAAGAAGCTGCACTTAGCAATAATCATGCATGAGTACCCTTTCAATATTGTTGAGCATGATTACTTTGTTGACTTTATCAAGTCTTTGCGCCCTACCTTTCCTTTGAAGTCTCGTGTCACCACTAGAAAAGAAATAATGGATATATATTTCGAAGAAAAGGAAAAGTTGTATGCATATTTTAAAACAGTTCGCTGTCGCTTTAGTGCAACCATGGATATGTGGACATCTTGTCAGAACAAGTCATATATGTGTATCACCATTCATTGGATAGATGATGATTGGAAAATTCAAAAGAGAATTCTCAGTTTATTTCATGTAGAAGGACGTCATACTGGTCATAAGTTGGCGGAGACCTTTACTGAAGTCATGGTTAGCTGGTTCGTTGAGAAGAGATTGTTTGCATTGACATTGGACAATGCTAGTAGCAATAAAGTGGCAGTCGAAGAGATAATTGATGATCTTAAGGAGAATGGCAATGCTTGTCTGGTTTGTGAAGGTATTTTCTTTCATGTTAGATGTGCTTGTCACATACTCAATTTGGTTGCTAGAGATGGTTTGAGTGTTATCTCAAAATCAATTGAGAAGATTAAGGCACTTGTGCTAGTTGTAAAGGGCTCTCCATTGCAATGGGAAGAATTAATGAAGCGTGCTGCTGAGTGTGGGTTGGATACAAACAAAGGTATTTCACTTGATGTTTCAACTAGGTGGAATTCAACCTACCTCATGCTATATGATGCCTTACACTATAAGCCAGCTTTCATTAGGCTGAAGTCCTCAAATCGTCGTAAGTATGCTAACATTTCTCCATCTGAGGCTGAATGGGAGATGGCTACAAAAATTTGTCATTGCTTGAAAAAGTTCTATGATCTTACTGAACTTCTATCTGGTACTTCATATCCAACTGCAAACTTGTTTTATAGAGGTTTTTGTGAGATAAAGGAAATTTTGGATAAATGGTGTGTTTGTGACGATTTCACTATTCGGGAGATGGCAATTTCTATGCATGAAAAGTTTAAGAAATATTGGACCAATTCTAGTACTAGTTTAGCTGTGGCATCCTTTCTTGATCCCAGATACAAGAAGAAGCTTATAGAATTCTACATGAGAAAGTTCTATGGTGATTACTATCAAGCTCAACTTGATGAGTTGCTTACTGTCATAAAGAAATTGTATCAATTTTAT